AGATGACCTTTTAAAATTTTTTGTCTAAAGTGTATAAAAATGCAGATTTGCATGTAGAAACACATTCCAGTTCCTGGGTAACTAGGGATTGTGAAGAGCTTGGAGTTTTACCTGTTGCACTGGGTTATGGTATTTATGTCACATTGCTGTCCTTTGTTGTATGTAGTTCCTTGCCTCCTCTGCCATCCATGTGCACCTTTGATGAACTGCATTTCTAAGGACCAATGGCTCAAGGAGTGTCAAACATCCCATTGAAATGGGATTTCCCTAATCAAGAGGCTGGCTTCTAAGAAGGAAGGGAAAAGATCACCTGGGAGGGACCAGCTCCTGGGGCTGATATGAAGGTTCCATGGGAAAATACCTGGACAGCTATATCAGGAAGAGAGATGTCCTGTTGTGTAAACCATGTACACCTGCTCAAACAGGGGAGCCACGTAGGAATTGGAAGGGCAGTGCCCTGATTTGCCTTCTCCAGGAAGCAGGTGGACAACAGCAGTTTTTAGTGGCAGAGGGAGACCAACACCATCTTTGGGGTGCTTGCTGTTTTCTCAGTTATTTTCAATTGTCAAACTCAAGCTAGTGGCCAACAATTTGAAACAGTAAACTCGGCCTTCTCCAGTGCAGCCCTCTCAGGTGTAGCAACTGGATGAGAAATCAAGACATCTGCAGAAAGTTTCTGAACTGATTTATGATCCTCTTTGAGGAAAATATATTTAGCCCATAGTGATTGGTTTTTTGCAACTTGCAAATAAATTTTTTAAGCAAACAGTCTTTGCTATCTTTGACCTAAACTCACGGATAGGATAGTATAACCCACACTTTTTCAGCAGACTTTGTAGTCACTAAGGCTGGGCTCTCTCCTTACTAAGACCTCCTCAGAGATGCTTGAAAGATGCTTCCCAGTATTTGGAGACCATTTTCAGGGCTCTTCCAAAGTCTGCTGAAGTCAGAAAGAGCCCTCTGGCAGGTTTGGGACCTTTCCTAAAGTGGTTCCCTGTGTGAATCAGGTGCAGCTAGTTTTAGTCCATCAATAATATTTTTATCTTGGGAGTTACAGCCAGCTTCTCAAAAGTGGTGCTGGTTGATCAGCATGTGGGATTAGGAAATGGGACTTACTGTCCCAGCTGTGCTGACTAGTAGGGTGATCCTGTGCATCGGAATGTGGCTAGCATGTTTCCTTCCCTGCTGCATGCAGTTTCTCTCACCTACCCATTTTCCAGGGTGTGCCAGATCCCTGGATATTTGTGCTTTCTCTTGTGGTTGCAGTACCCTGTGATGGGATGTAACTGGAAAAATCATGTTCTCTTGATGGTAACAGTATGCACCACAACAGAGGCACACACATCTCCATGGATTAGAGTGGACATACTCAGCATTTCCACCCATGCTGCTCTGAATACATCTCTCTCCCACCCTGGCGACTCCACCCCTAGGATTTCATCCACTGACTTTCAGCTTGAGCCTCATTAAGCTTTTAATCAACACACCGCCTGCCAGACTCTTGCTGTCAGGCCAGATGCCTAGCAGTATTGAGGAATATTGTGCTAATACCCTAACATCTCGAGTACTTGTGTCGTGTCTGTGATTCGGTGCTGCACTGGGTGGCACTGGTCCAGCTACCTCGCTGCATCTCCAAGTGCTCTCCCAAGACATCAGCTGTGATGGTACAGGAGGGACTGTGTCATCGCTGCTGGCAGCTCCCAAGTCATGCTTTTCTTGAAGAGGAAGAACATCTCCAATGCTCTTGGAAAACATTTCAAAAGCTGGTAAATGTGTTTTCTTCCCTGCTTTGTCAGCCAGAGCATTTCCAGATTAGTGCCTGGTTGCACATCTTTAATAATGTTTATAAAAGATAGGATCTAGCTCAAATAGAAGGTTTTGCCTCGGTGCTGGTTGGCATTAGATTATCATAGTGGTGTTTTTGACCTTGGAAAAAATCTATAAATGTAGGAATTATTGTTTTTATTAAATTTTCTAGTGTGTCTTTTGCACTATTAACCTGACTTACTATTATGTGCTGACTGGGAGATTGTGGGGTTGCTTGTGCTAGCAGGGAAGAGGATTCAGCTCATACATGAGGAGGAGGAGACCTCTGCACCACCACTCTGACATGGGAGCAGTGGGGTCCCCAAACTGAGTGACAGATTCTGTCTGTGCTCTAGGTAATTTGAACCCTGGAAGTGAAGGACATACCTTGGGAAAGGAGGGAAGAGCAGTGGAGAAGGAAAGGGAGTTGGTTGTGGAAAGGATTATGGCGCTTCCTGCTCCCAGTGAGGTGCTGCAGTCAGCTTGGCATTTTAATTGATTGGCAGGTGGCTCCTGTGCGGAAGATGATGGTGAGGAACACTTCTCCCACCCAGAAGCCCCACTGTGTGCGAGCATAACATAAACCCCCACTCTCCCATGAGCACAGCCGTGTGTCTGCTTTGTTCCCAAGGTTGGGCTCCAGCACTACTGTTTAACAGCAGTCAGCTGGAAAGATCTCCTAACTGGTTTTATGCAAATGGAGTGAGATATCTCATGCATGTGCCTGTTTGCACACAGGCACCATCCCCTGTCAGACAATAGATATTGTTTTGTCATGTAAATAGCACTCAACTAACAGGGTTTGCTGAGAGTTGAGCTCACTTACACTGAATGGTTTTGACATGTGTGTGTATGCAGGTGTTGAAAGAGAGGGCAGGGAGAGTAACAAAGCTGTGAAACTTCAGTGAGATAAACCAAATAACCCTCTCAAATCATGTTATATGGAAAGTGTGTTGGATAAAGGTGGTCAGGGCTACACGGCAAAGAGATAAGTATGAGGGGAAGAAAAACAGTTTTCTTTGTACAAGATTAGTGACATCTAACCAATGACTTGAAACTGCCTCTGATCGTCATTGTTGGTCTCCACGTGTCTGTGCCTCTTTCCAGGAGCATTCTGCTTGGCAGGTGCAACTCTGGAGGTTGGTTTTGGTGATAACAAGACATCTTCGAAGAGCTGCCAGGCAGCTGAGGATTTACATTCAGTGAAGCCGACAGTGGAGATCAGGGGACGGAGGTGCAGTCGACAAAGCAGTTGGGGAAGCTGCTGTCACTGTCTCCCCGTGTTTGTTGCCAAGTGGGGTTGGCTGTTGGTCCGTCTGCAGGCGGCCACCTGCAGTGGAGCAGTGACATCAATCAGTCTGGTCTGGTTGTGTTGGGAAGCGTGATGAGCAACTGTTATGCAGATGCTCCCTGGGAGGCTACTAAATAGTCATTGTTGAAGCAATTAATAGCAACAAGTGAAAAAAAAACGGCCCAGAAAATGTTTTCAGATGTCCCAGACAGTGGTGATACTTAGGGTGATGAATCATGCAACTGTCCATATGAAAACTGAATAATTTTACTTGCCACAATAAAATATGTAATGAAAACAATAAAAAAAAAGAGCAGAGACCAACATATAATCTACCAAATGTCTGTGGTGTCCAGTTCAAAATGTTGATTTACCAATCAACTAATAAAACCTAAGTCCAAAAATACAATTGATGATGTTGTAAAGAAAAGTACAATCAAAAGCATATTGTTCTTGACCTGGTGGGGGGCTTTGCTGTTTTCAGATATAGCTGCTGATGATGTGGTTTTCACAATGACACCTTTGACTGGTTTTTAACTGTCTTTTGGGGCAGGAAGGGGTGAGAGGCAGTGTCCTCTCTTTGGCAAAATACATAGATCTTTTTTCTTAGTAGTTTATACTAGATCCATGGTGGAACTAGACAAAAAAATCACTGAGAGGGAAGCAATGCTGCAGGTCTTGGACAAACCCTCTTAAAATCAGTTCAGAGAAATGGCAGTTGTTTCAGCATCCTGCAGTAAATGATAAATGAGTTCCAGGAAACTCACCCTTTCTAATGCAATAATCCACCTGCTGAAAAATGCTGCTATTCTAAAGTGAACACAATCTTTGTGTTTACATCATATTTTATATATGATAAACTGCTTTGCAAAGAGGAAGAAAAAGAGCGTTCATAAATTTTATTATACTATTATGTACTAATAAAAAAAGAAACCCATTTTTCTCTGAGAGCTGAGCAAAGAACAGATGGGCAGTATTTAGACATAGGAAGTTTTCTTAGAAAGACTATTTTATTTTATAAAATAGTAGCTATTATGTACCCTCCCATGACAAAATGGTCTGTCTCCATATCTTAATACTGGGATATTCTAAAAGAATTTATTTTATTCTGTTGTTTATGTTGCATAAAATGAAGCTACCAGGTGCTGAGAGTTTTTCTTGGACTACATGCTCCCCAGGGAAGTGGTCACACCACCAAGCCTGCCAGAATTCAGAAAGCGTTTGGATAATATTCTGAGATACATTGTGTGATTTTTGCGACTGTCCTTTGAAGGGCCAGGAGTTGGACTCAATGATCCTTGTGGATCCCTTCCAACTCAGGATATGCTATTATTTTATGATTCTATGAATCTATTCTGTGCAATTTCTGGCGATAAACTAGAAAAGAGAATTTGGGGTCCCTTGCGGAAAGCTGCAGTCCCTTTTTCTTTTTTTTTCCCCTTTCATCTTGTACCTTGGTACACACAGAAACTTTTTGTTAGCTATGTAAGCATTCTTTTATTCAAATACTAATTTAACATAGTGATTGTACTGAGAGTGACCTGTGCTCTGGCATTGCATCTTTTCCATTTAGCGCAGGGGACTTCATAAAATTGATTAACTCATAGCTCTTAAATCTTTCATAATTTTGGCTTTTTTCTCTTCCCTCAGAGAGGAAGCTGGTGTTTTTAACTGTTTCCATGAATTTAGGAGAGTCTGTCACCTAGCCTTTCAGTATCTGTGATGTGTGATGTGTCCTGGACTGTCCTTTGACTTTTGAAAATCATTATTCCTGTGCTTTTTTTGTTACTGACATGAGGGTGATACAGCCACTGAAGCAGCCTGGCAGCAGTTTGGAGGGGAGGGAGCTGGGGAGGGGGAAGGTGCGTAGAGTGTTTTTTGCCCTCTCTGCCAGTTGCATGGGAGAAGAGGGAGCTGCGAGCTTTAAAACCCTGCCACCAAGCAGCCAGCTGCCCACTTGCACCGTGCTATGCCATCCCAGACAAACATCTCCTAGAGCATCTGTAGGGCAGTGTGACTCACTGAGCCAAGGGCATAATCCGTGGGGATGCAGCTGGACCTCAGTGCTGGGGGACAGTATCTCACTGCTGCCGATCAGGAATACTAATCCACAGTCAGCCTGTCCTTTTCCACACTCCACTGATGGGGTGAACTCATAATCCTCAGAGGTGAGCAGGTTATCCTTGGAAGGGATTGCCCTGCTGTGGAGCAACTGAACCTGTGGGCATCACATCTGGCCAGTTTCCCTGGAGAGGCTTGGGGAAGTAGGTATTGCTTTCCCAGCCTGCCCCAGGTAAGTAATTTGATCTTAAACAAAGAAGCATAGAGATGGCTGTTTCTTATTTAAAAATGCATTAAATATTTTTAAAATAATTTTTGTTGTTGTTTTGAAGGCCGAAGGTTTGAATATTCCCATGCTTTGTGCCTCCCGTGAGCTTCTGGATCTGGGGGGTGATAATGAGGGATTTAATTCTGGGCAGCAGGTGCTGGCAGCAGGGATGTGATACAGTGCCTGTTATCATGTTGTCAGGTTAATTTTGCACCGTCTGGGTGTGAAAGGAGCATTCAGGCTTCTAACTGTAGTCCTTGGGCACCTGGTACCTTCTTCCTGCTGCAGACGTTTTCAAGGAAACACACTGTGTGTCTGAGGCATGTAGAGAGTTAAAGCTGGTGGGGAGCAATGCCACTGCCAGTGTAGCCAGTGTGCCAGGGAAGGGTCCCTTGAGAGAGGAATAAGAAGGTTGTTCCCACTCGCACTGGTCACCCATCTTTTCTTACCAGCTCAGGAGAAAAGGAAAGCTGGTCTTTCAGTTGTCTGGGCTTCCTATCCTAATCAGATGCACTGTTCTGAATTGCAAATAATCCCAGCGGAGGAGATGTAAAGCAGATGTCAGTAGGGAATGAGACCTGTTGTGGGAGCAGGAGCCAGGCTTGTGCAGTGACTGCCCTCTGGGAACGGGAACTGACAACTGCTGGAAACTTGGACAAAGTGGGAGATATCTGTAAAAGACTGATACCTGAGTCAACACCTTGCTATGCTTTTATGTATGATGCAAGTGGTGGAGAAGGCAAGAAGATAAACTATGTGATAACAGCAATGCTGTCACATTTTGTCATTCCAGCATGGCAGGGCATGGCAGGCTGAGGAGGCTTGTGATCTCCAGGGGGGAATGTGCTGCAGTAATGGGAAGACAGCGAGAGAAAGGGAGCACAGTCAAACTAGGGAGTACAATTTCCAGCATTTACTTTGCTTAGGTATGTACCTGTTATCCAGGCTTTTCCCTGGCAGCCCTAACTGTCCACTGTTCTGTGACAGTTCAGGTATTAGTGTGTGTTTCTAGTGGTGTGACTAAGATGTGATGAACATCCACAGTTCTGCAGATTTGCTCAGAAATGTCAGTGTGTAAGGAAAATGTTTCCATTAACATTTTTGCAGTGAATATGGAAATCTCTCAAGTGACAATGATGTTACTACTTTTCTTTTCTTTTTTTTTTTTTTAATTTAAAGGGTAAGAAAACCAAGCAGAATCTGACCACAGGTGTTTTAAGATGCACAGAGCTGTCATTGTATTGTGCATGACTCCATCCAAAGTGTAGGCAGCCAGCTTATGGGTAAGGTTGGGGACAAACAATGGATGGTACAGTTCACTTGGGAACCACCACTGCACAAGCAGGGGCTGGCACAGAAACACATCATCCCACTGCCTTAAAAAATCATGGAGAAAGATCCTTGTTGGAAGGTGTGCCCTGCACTGTGTGCCAGTCATGGAGAGGAGGAGTGGGGTGTGCTCCTGGGTTATGGAGGTGCAACTTTGGATGTGATGGGAGGGTCAGGGATATGTTGGAAGCAGGGGGACCAGGATCATGTGGTGAGGGACATAGAGGAAGGGTGAGCGTTCATCTTGCTTCGGTAGCACAAGTTGCTGGAAATTAAATACTTAAGGAGGTGAGATTGAAACTTGTGTTGTTTTTCACAGATCAAATTTTTAAGTGTAGGCTGTCTGTATTTCTTGGCTTTTTTACATGGTTTGTACTATACAGTGCATAGCAGTGTGCCAGAGGAGCAGGGTATGATGTGTACAGTCCTAGTGAAGCACACAAGGGGTTTTTCTTCTGTCTTCCATATTTTCCATGTTCCCAGGGTGTCCAAACTGTGTCCATCACATTGAGAGAGTGGGTAAGACCAGACCAGTGACATAGCACAGCACTGTTCCTGTGTTGTCCCATGTTACACTGCCTTTGAGGCCCAGAAGGTTTTTGTCTGGTTTCTCTGAAGAAATGTGTAGCTATTTCCATGTTGCTTCAAACACGTTTGCGCTTAGAAAGCAAGAGAAAGGTGAGGAAAAACTAAGCTGAATCTTCTACCTGGAAATAGTATTGCCTAATGCTTATACTTAGAAATCAAGAGTCAATTTTGTGGAGTTATTTCCTGACTTTTACATAACTTGATGTTAACCTCAGAGAAACCAGTTTCACAATACCCTATTAAACATTCAGTTAAACAGGGCTACAGCATCTTCTTGTTGCAGAGGTGTACTGGTGAATACAAGCTTGTAACATTGGAGCCATGTTCATTGAAGAGTCTTGTTCCCAGTATTTAGGAGATGGGGAGTTCATGTGCCACAAGCAGCCATGCATTTTCTCCTTATTGCTGGGAGTGTCTTCCTGATGTGAGGGTGGAAATAAAATCTTTCTGCTGTTCTGGTGAGGATATCCCTGCTGAAGCTGTTAGCAGAAATGTCAGTACTCCAAGTGGTGGGATTATGATGGGGAGAGCCTTGTACTATCAGCTAAACTGAGAAAAACAAATTGGTTTAGGGGGGAGCAAAGCCATTAAGCAGTAATAGCTTTTAGTTATTGCTGTTTGGAGGTGGATTCAAAGGGATAACATAAGGGTGAAAGACACTGTATTCCACTATCAGTCTCCAAGATCATCTAGTCCTGCACCTATTACTCTTAGATTATGTGGAGTGTATCGTGCTAGTAGCTGTTAAGGAGCAGTACAGTGATATTTCAAGAGAGAGAGAAAGACAAATCATCTGTATACACACTGGTTATCTTGAGTGTGTTTTTCCTGTACTGAAACAATTAAATACCAAAGTGGGAAAAGCACAAATAAAGCTGATATCTTCCTCAGATGGGCAGGCTCTGGATCCTATGTGTCAAAGTGTTCTGTGGATACGTTTTCTGGAATTATATCAGAAATCTCTTTTCAGCTCTAATGGCTCATTGAATGGGTCAGTGTAGCCCAGGCAGACGAACACACTGTTTGCATGATGAGTTCTAAATCTGAATTGTTTCTGTGGTGAGTGGGGCATGATGTCAGCACTGTGGGGGGAACATAGTTTCTCACTGACGGCAAAGATGATTGTTTTCCAGTTGCAGGTTGTGATCCCTCCCTAGGGTGTCCTTGGGATGGTTCAGGGGAGGCTATGAAGCATTTTATACTCATGAGGGAACAGTCAGCTGCCTTTAATTGCTGACTGCACTCTGTCCTACTAGGACAGAGGTTTGTATATTTATATCAGCAACCAGTAACTATAACCTATTCTTGTTCCCTTGGCCAACAGTAGTTAACCCATCCTTGGCTAATTAAAGTCTGGGAAACCTGGGGGGAAGGAGAGGATGAAAGGGGGCCACACAAATGCAGTTTAGGCCAAAAGACAGTTAAGCTCTCAGAAAGTTTAAGGATTTTTGTCATAACCAAGGGAAATGAGGGCACATTCAAAATGTGTTACTGTCTACACCCCTCTGCATTGTAACAGAAGTGCAATGTGTTCAGTAGGTTCCAAGGGGTTTTTGTGATCCCCTCCCAAACCAGTGCATAGACAAACACTCGGGGAGGAGTTGCTGCAGCACTTCTGTTTTTGAAAGCTTGCTGACAGCAGTGTTGTTTTCTGATCCGTAGGTCCAGAGGATGGCATAGCAATGACGTCACTGTCCAGGGAGCTGGAGTCCTTCCTCGTCTGTTTGCATGCTGCTTGAACTGATCCCAAGCCTTTGTTTTTGGACTGAAGAAACCTGAAAACCTTTCTCTCCTAATTCATGAGCCAGCAGGATGTGGTCGCCGTGCTTTCAGAACGCCTGCTTGTAGCCGCCTACAAAGGCCAAGTGGAGAATGTGGTGCAGCTTATCAACAGGGGTGCCAAGGTAGCGGTTACCAAGGTAACAAGAGAAAAACGCTTTGCGAAAGCCCTGGGAACTAATGTAACTCCTAGACCATTGTCTGTGAAAATGCCTTCGTAGCTTTACCAATCTGAATGTGACTGAGGTTAGTGTTCAGATTTCCTTAAAGTTTATACTTAATAGCTCACGTAAATTTGCAGTATAGTGCATGTCTTGTTTTTATACACTTCCCAGCGGATGCAGCTGTGATGAACACTGAGTCCTCAGAAACACAGTGTGTTGATGGACGGGCAGTGACATTTTTCAAAGCGTGCATTGACTTTTGAACACTGTGTGATCTGATGAATGGAGCGATTCATCACTGTCAAGGGAAGGCAGTTCAGAGCACCCATCTCTCTGGGTGAGGGGATGGGGAAAAGCCACCTCTGTGGTAGGGTGAGGTACGCAGAGAGTATTTCTTTTTGCTGAAGTCTCTTGGTACAGCAGCCTCACTTATACCCAACATTCTCGTTGATTTGTTCTGTGTAGTCCCTTAGTTCCAGACTTGGGGGTTGCAAACTGTGTTCCCCATACCTTCAAGATAAGGCCAGCATCAAAGGATTTCTGCTTAGATATTAAGAGAGTTCAAAATGTTATTCACCTATTCCTAACTCTCAACATGTTATAAATAATACTAGCATATAAGAAATGAGGTAGATCTGGCTGTTGTGGAGAAGGTTTGATCAACAAAAAACCTGTTTTGATGAAGTGTTGTTCTCCATTGTATCTATTTTTTTTGCGTTTCCATATTGGTTTTGAACCTTATATATGTATGGGAGCTAATATGTACAGATAGAAAGCAAATGTGAGTACACTTGATAAAAAGAGGAAAAGATAGATTACTTATCTGTCAGTGACAGTTGTTTTCAGTCCCTTTGCAGTGTTTGAATTGTAGATAATATTTATTTTGAAAGCTGGAGTGATCCAAGGACAACCTGTGTTTGTGAGTTTTATTTGCCAAAATAAGTGGCCTCTTGTTGCTAGATACAAAGCACAGATGTAATAAACATGAATAGTCCCATAAAGATACCTGTTTGGCTCTGTAGTCCAAGCAGCTCTGTAGCTGATATACAGCTATTAAAGGTAGTCAGTAATAGACCAGGAAATACTGACTTACAGATGCCTGACTGGTAGCTCAGGGTTTTGTGGTTGCATGTTTTCTTTTGTTTGATTTTTTTAAGATCATGAGCTTTGAAGACTACTGAGGAACCTACCTGAAAATACACAAATGTTAGAAAGGATGCTGTACTTTGTATAAATGTGTGCATTAATGTAATTTCAAATTAGTTTTCACGCTGTTTGAACATACAGTGTGATATCCCTTGATTTCCAGAATAATTATGCCACTGATTTAACTGCTTTATGGAACTAGTTGCCATAATCCACAATTCAAATGCAAAATTGACAATTCCTCATTTTTCAGGTTGATTATTGCGCTACTATCAATGCCTTCTGTTAATTACAGTAACAAACACGTCGTGTAGATCTGACTTTGAAACACAAAATCAGCTTAATTTGATATAATGCAGATTTGCTAGAGTTGATAAGTTTTTCTTTCCTATATGACACAGAGTGGCTTGCTTGCTTTGTTGTTCAACCCTTGTATGGAAAATCAAAGCAGAGCTTATTTGGCAGCAGAACTGCACCCGGGTGCAAAGAGTTTGTGTTTCTGTTGGACAGCTGTGAACTCTGAGGCCATTTCTGTAGCTGATCTGGTACTGCGGAATTGTAGCTATTCTTTCCTAAAAGTTGTGGGTAATCCCCATGGAGTTCAGGGAGGGAAGATGACAAAAGCTGTCCCTCTTGCCATTCTGGGTGCATCCCAGCACACCACCAGACAGTACAGATGAGGTACTCAGGTAACCTGGTGACAAGCCCTACTCAGAAGAGATGAAGTCAGATCAGCAAGACTGTGGAGGAGTACACAGAGGAGTGGAAACGCTGTCAGAGAAGCAGCCAAGGCTACATGCATGGGGTATTTTGGAGGTGTACACACTCTTATTCTTCCCATGCTGTGAGCCCAGATAGAGGTGAGTGCAATGTGAACCAAGAGGTGTGAGACCAAGCTGCTGCCCTCATCAAAGCCCATCAGTTCAGGCTCCGTAGTGTCTTGTCCAGGTCTACACAGCGTCCAGTTTGCATCTGGCTCTCATTCAGCCAGCTGTATAGAGAGAGCATATGCATATTTGCTTATGAAAGACTGTATAAACATACCCTGGGAAGAGCTTGGCTTGCTAATCTGATGGCACACAAAGGCTGGAAGGAGAAAGAGATGTGTAAAGTTAAGGACAATGTTGTCGCAAGAGCAGGGATGTATAAATTAGTCTCAAGTATATTTAAACTGGAAATTTAAAGGGATTTTTTAGCCATCACAGCAACACGTTCTTGTGCGGTCTTTTAATAAGCAGAAAAAGTACAAAATAAGAACTACTTTCGGGATAGGAATTGTTAATTTTAGAATGGAAATTAGATGGCAGGCTTGTTGTAGCACACTGATACAGACGAAGCTTCCAGATGAACTGATATTTAGAGCTGTCTCCTCCTCCAAGATAAAACTCATTGCACAGTGGAACATAGAAATAAATTTATTCATGTGCATGCCTTAGTTCTCTTTTACCTGTATGTCTTCTGCTTTTATTCAGTTTTCAGTTTGTTCTGTCAAATTAATTTTAAATTATAGGGATTTGCATTAAAAAAACCCTGGATCTGGTACTGGTCAACCAAAATTCCTACTGGATTCTGTGAGTTTTATTGGAGGAAGACATGAGGGGACAAAGCTCTTTGGAGGGAGAGAAAAAGTTCCCATATCACTGTAGGCTTTAAATGTATTTCAGATATGCATCTGTAAGCACAGACCAATTCTTATGAATAACACTGTGCAGAGCCACAGTTTGAAGTGACTAGGATCTAGAGCTAAATGCTAGAGAGTTCTTTATTCAAAATGGATTAATTGAGCATAGCTTAAGGAAAATGAAGGATATTTTCTGTAACAAATCAGGTTAGTAAATGCCAGATAGCTGGCTTGTCCAGTTCTATTTTTGTTGTATATGGAAGGTCATATGATATAGTTAATTGTTGCTTCAGAAAACAACAATTCAACTGTAAAATAGTATTTCATTTTTGTCACCTCTACGTAGATGATTTCAGACAAAGAAGAATATGAAAGAAACAACTGGAGAATCTGTGTGTCCAGGTGCTCACTTTAGTGTTTCCTCGGGGATGCACTTGTTTCATTTTGCCAGCATTACTAGCAAGGCATCTGTGCAGGTGAAGTCAATATGGACAAGTGCACCTCCTCTGACTCCAGCAAGGGACACTTGGGCTTGTTCCAGATTTGGGGCCTTTTAAAATAGGTAAAGAAGAGCTGATGGACACTAGGTCACTTTGCTGCTACTGACCCTTACCACAGTGGATTAGGGGTGGTGGCGCTGCAGTGCACATGCATTGAGTGCTTGTCCTGATGCTGGGATGTGGGGCCATGGCCAAGAGAAGGTGTGGTGCTCAGCAGAGGCTTCATGGCTCTGCTCTTTTCTAATGGCACCTGCTCGGTCAGGTGCTCTGTTGCCACTCTGCCCCATATGACAAAGAGATAATTTCCATTTTTACGCCTTTTCATCTGACGTTCTTCAAATGTACAGCTGTTTTCTTTATGAAAAAGGCAAAAAAATCTCCTGAACAACCTATCACACATATTGGCTAATGCAACAAACAGGTTCCCTTATCAAGTACTTTGGTGAATAAGCTGCAAAAACTGGAAAACTAGGAACTGAGCCTGCTATAATTCAGTCTTTTCTTCCAAGCAAGAAAGCTGGTCCCTTCTTTCAGTCCTTTTGTAGTAGAGCTGTCTTTCAGTGACATTACTGACAGCTGCACTTTGACACAAAAGCGTTGGAACTTCTGCTGAGCTGATGTCTTGCTGTCCTCTCAGGATGTTGCTGTCCTTTTCCTGGGTTATTTTTCGTTCTGAGGTAGATTAGGGAGAGGGCTATGGACCACTAGGAATGGCCCAGGAGGAGCCATGGTAGTGACATCTCAAATCAGGTCAGGTCTTCTCTCAAGCTTGTTCCCAGAACGCTGCCTGGAGGATGGAGAGCAGTGGGATTTCACCTCCCAGGCATCTGCTTCTGGGTGCATCCCAAGGATGCCTGGCTGAAACAAGGCACTTCTGGAGCTCAGATTTCCAGGTATGAACCTCTGTGCTCCAGCTTGCCGAAACAAAGTGTTACTGGGTGTTGGGTTTCACTGGGGTGTTGCAGCACAGGGTGTAGCATTCAATAGCAAGAGTTAATAGGGCCTGAAAAAGCTGTGTGTTAGCAACCACACACGGAGGAGCACACTGCTTCTCTGGTAAACACAGAAAAGATCGACAGAAGAAATCATAAAGGTGGCAAAGGCACTTTTAGTGTAATTTGTGTAGCGTCATGGGTTTTATGAGTATTTTCAAAGAAAAGCAGAATATAGCTTTTCTGCAGAACACAGCATTAAGATCATAGCTATAAAATTGAATTCTACAGAGAAGGAATGATAATTCAGAAAAAAAAGCCCCAAGGAAATGCAAAAAGTAGTGCTTCTGTTTTGATTCAGTGATTCTGTTTGTTTGATTTAACTTTTGAACTAATCATGTTACAAACATGCCATGTGGCAACACTTTAGTAATGCTGGGGTACTTTGAATCTCAACTTCACAGCACATTGAGTTCTTTAAAGCAATCTCTTTTTTTCTTCTTTTTTAAGTTAAGACAGAAACAAAAAAGGAAATGTATTTTGGTGCTTTCACATTTTTGCACTCCTTCAGTTTGAAAAGCTATTTGTGTCTGTTTTAAACAATAAATAAAGATAAATGAAAAGGGACTAGCGAACATTTAGGAACTTCTGAATGCCTGTTGAGGTCAGTGGGAAACTTTCTGCTGACTTGAGCAAGCAGGTTATTCATGGAGAACAGTCTAACAAATCATCAGTGTGAACAATGTGACAAGACTTGGATTTTGTTTTCAAGCTTTCCAATAAAATGTGGATAGGCATTTTTTGTACGAGTGCAGAATGGATGAATAAATAACAGTCCTTGTGCATCACAAGTGCAGGGTGAGATGGAGAACTGAATGTACTTTCATGAAGTATCTACACATACATAAACGTAGGGAGCTTGGGGTACTGAGGCCCCCCTATATGATTTGGTTGTGGAGTGCATACACTGGCAAACATACTCTGTTCCGCTTTTAAATGGTATGTATCGACAGGTGCCTGACAATGTCTGAAAGTTAGAATACAGATTAAATACAAACAAAAACCTACCCTTGCATTTTACTGCTGAAACTCATGTGGCTGTTTACAGTGCTTGGCTGCAGCCTGATACGCCCCACAGCTATAGCAGCGTGTCATGGTGGTTGGAAGTTGCAGCCTTAGTCAAATAGCTCCCATTTATTTTGTCAATAAGTCCGTGACACGGGACCATTTGTATGATTTGTTGCCTGATGAAGCAATTGTTTACATTTGAATAGAAGTCCAAATTGCTTTTTTTTTTAACATATGAATGACTGCTTTATTGGTTCATTAATCCCGCGTTGTAGCAGTCTCTCATTTATATTTGTAATAACCCCCAAACCATTACAGTTCATATTTGGCAATGCTCACAAGCTTTTAAGTCAGTAGTCTGCGTGTTGAGCAGTCCCTCGGTTTAGTGTTGTCTCCTTGCAATGAGCATCTAGGAGACACTCATATTTGTACATGTTTCCTTTCCCCCTTAGACCCTTGCATGTATTCAGATAAATCCCCTGTGGTGGGTTGACCTTGGCTGGATGTCAGGTGCCCACCCAGCTGCTCTATCACTCCCCTTCTCAGCCAGACAGGGGAGAGAGTAAGGTGGAGAAAACAGCTCATGGGTTGGGATAAGGCGGTTTATTTAAAGCAAAAGCAAAGTGGAGGCTTGTGCATGCAAAAGGGAAGCGAAAGATAGCAGGGTTTATTCTCTACTTCCCATGAGCAGAGATGGTTGGCCACTCCTGAGAAGCAGGGCTTCAGCACATGTAGTGGTTCCTTAGCAGGCAGCCACTGGAGACAATGAATGCCTGCCTTCCTGCTCCTTGCCTTAGCTTATATCTGAGCTGATGTCATATGGTATGGAATATCCCTTTGGTCAGTGTGGGTCAACTGGCCTACTTGTGTCCTCTCCCAGGATCTTGCCCTCGACTGAGGAAGGAATGTTACAGTGCTGATGCTGTGCTCAGCAGTAGCCAAAACACTGGTGTGTTATCAACACCCTTCTAGCTACCAATGCAAAGCACAGCACTGTGAGGGCTACTATGAGAAATGAACTCCAGCTCAGCCAGACTCAATACACCCCCTCTTTGGTGCTGCAGCACTGAGTGCAAAATGTCTTTATGGAGGAGACACACAGAGGGAGATTTGTCTGGCTGTCTTCATCTCTCTTCCACCTATATATTTTGGGTAGTGTGCACTGCTGTGAGAGAAGAACTCTGTGGGCTATTAGTTTGACTTACAGGCATGAAGGCAAAAGCAGCCCTGACTGTTGCTGCTGTGGCAAAAACTCATTCAGTGTTTCTCTCCAAAGCTTGCTGTGCTTCAAGTTTGCCATCACAGCATGAAGGGCACTCAAACTCCTTGTCCCTTCCTCACGGTTTGTTCTGGATTAGTTTGTGCATGCATATGGACATACATACCTGTGTGTATGTTTGTGTGGGGAAATGGGTGGGAATGTTTTTCCAGTGTTTGTGTTGCCCATACTGGAACACTGTCCATCTGTACCACCCGTCTCTGCTCTCATTTTGAATGTTACTGGGAAGAAAAAGAAAATCTGGCATTGCCAGTTTTTGCAGGGTTATGATTAATCTTGAGATGACTGGTGCTCTTTCAAAAGCCTGAACCTCTAATTAGTGTAATGTGCTGGAATTGATTCTCTTCCCACTCTCCTGTCCTAGGTAGTGTCACAGTTTTTGTTTATAGTGTCCCTTTAAAGTGGGAAGAACTCAAAGACTGCAGGTGTGCAGAAGCTCTGGTTACTGAAGATCTCTCTCTAGGGGTCTCCAATCGATGAGATGCCTCTGAACCTATGTTTCTGTATAGAGAATCTGAAACACACAAACCCTCTGGAATAAAAGTGGTTCTTTAGTCTTTCAACCCAATTATTAATTTATTTAAAAAAGAAAAAACAAAAACAAAAACAACAACAAAAAAACCCCAACCTGAGTTTTAGGGACTTGGATAATGTTTTTGAATGCTTTGGGGATGACGATAGGGGAAATGCACAGTTAACATGAACCTCTCTTCAATGAGTGACAGGAACATCCAGGCCCTTGCTTGCAGCTCTCCCTGGCCCTGCAGTGGCCTCTTCCAGCAAGTGCTCTCTCCTCCTCCAGCATCCATTTCCTGTTGGGTAGGTTCCAGGGACAGGACAGCAGTGCTCCCTGGAGTGAGGGCAGCCTCCTCCAGATAAGCCCATTCTTCGGGGCAGCTTTATTTTGATGTGGCTTAAGGCACTGAATGGGCAGGTGAAGGTCATGTGATCTCGATCTTCTGTGGTTTTGCATCCTTTTCCTGTGCTTGTGCCCTACCAGCAGGCACAGTCTGTCTCACAATTGCCTAGGAACATGTGATGGTTGAGGAAAACATGCCCCTCGTATTGATACAAACTCCTATTCTGTTTTCATAGTTAACTTTTAACACAGTGCCTTTGGCTGTATGTCAGCATTTTTTTGGTGGTTAGAGCTGGTTATCTTATCAGAAAGTTTTCCTGTTGGGATGTACTCATGTTGTTGACACTATTTTCCTTCTAATGTACATGAACCGGCTTCAGGTTGGGTTGGTTTGGGATTTTTCCTGATCCATGTACAGATTGCTATAAATTGTTTTTGCGATATATTAATAACCTGCTGGGAAATGAGATAGATACCTGGATTAGGTGATTTACATATTGGCATTAAGTAATGCAGAAAAGTCAGAACCTGTAAATCTGAATGTGCTGACACACATATTCATAATCCAAACATATTGTTCATAGCCGAGAATTGTTTGTCAATTTGGGTTCTTTTTGTTTTCTCTCTTTTTTTTTTTCACCTGGGTTGCCTGGGGACTTTTATGCCTTCTGCTATCGAGTTACCTGGAACAGTGACATAGCCCTGGCTCTCCTCCAAGCTGATGGAGAAGGAAATGTGGTCAGTACAGCTGAGTGCCCTTCCATGTAGGGCCAGGCATTTAGGGACCTGTGACCAGATCAAGCAAGAGGCACCCAGGCAACAGGGTGGATGGTGCCCAGGGGCAGTGGTGACAGCTGAAAGTGAGCTCTTCTCACACCTTCAGCAAAACAGGAATGGAAGTTTCCCACATGGGAATGAACTGCTGCTACTAACAGGAGACAGTGTTTGGGTTTTGAGAAACCCATGTGTCAGAGTGGATGAGGACTTTGCCCTTAGATCTAGCCCTTCAAATCAATAATGTAGGACAATTAATCAACACAATGTTTTTGAAGCACAACACAACTGATCAGTAATCAGACTTTTTGTCCCCAGGCGTTCTGTTTTTTCTTTTTGCTCTGAAGAGGCTGAGTTACCAAGGTTTTACCAGCTATGTGGGTATGGGATTCCCTGTACGAAAACAATCCTGTATTGAGCTTGGTTTATTATATACTTGAAGTAATTTTCTCACTGAAGAAGTTGCTTAAAACCTCAGAGAACTGATAGTTGCCTTCTGCTCACTTCAGGCCACTAGTAGTCAGATAGCTTTTGAAGTGTTTGCTCCTTCTGTAGGTAATATTGTAGGGCTGTTTATCTTCCTTTGCAGGGTAAATCCTTGGGTGGAATCATTGGATGGAAAAATAGGCAATAGCACCGGTAATGAAGTAATAGATATATAATAGATAGAGGTGAAGCGTAATGTGACTCTTTTTTATCTCATAAAATGCCTAGTAGAGAAAGCAGCATTCTTTGTGAAGATACTTTGTGAATTTAGCAATGACTAGAATCCTGTTTGCTTATTTGTGATTAAATAATCTGCGGTGAACAGTTTTAGAATGTTGCTGTTTAACAGACCTTGAGGTGTTTCACTCAGTTTTCATGTTGATGCCTTGAGATCTGAGAGAGAAAGAGAGAGAGAGAGAAGGAAAGATAATGTTTAAAAATAAGTATTGTCCAAAAAAACCCTGACAGATCTTTAGTAAAATGAAGTTGGTTGTCATACACATGAAGTCACTGGAGTGACTACAAGTCTTCCATTCCTTTTCATGGGAACATCTGTCATGCACAACAGTTCAGTAATTCTTGTCTCTGTCACAAAGAAGGTGCCCACTACAATACATGAATTAACCTGCTACTGCAACTTTGCTGTACAGAGGGAAGTTCAAAGTGGTTGACAGTTCTGTGCTTCAGAGGGACAGAAACATGAATTCTGCTTAGGCATTGACACAGAGCTGGATCTGAATTTCTAAGGAAGTACCCTTACGTGAATATGATATCCCCTTTGTAGAGTGTCATTGGGATAAACTGAAATGTTACAGAAGGGGGAGGAGGAAATTCAGCATACACAAAACTAAGATAAAGCCTTTGACACACTAATATATGTCAGTTGCTGCTATTGCAGGTTTCAGAGAGTGAGGAACAAACAGAAGAATGATGAAAAGCAGATAAAATTGTATTTAACTGCCATGCATAAAAATTCACCCTAATGTATTATTATTTTCTTCTCATTCATAGCATGGCCGGACCCCCCTGCATCTTGCTGCCCACAAGGGTCATCTCCATGTTGTCCAGATTTTGTTGAAGGCAGGTTGTGACCTGGATATTCAGGATGATGTAAGTAGATAAAACTTTCTTGCTTGCAGTGGAGGGGGAAAGATGATTTGCAAGTAACAGTGGACCTTCACTTCTTTGAAATAGGATTAAATGAAAGCAAAATCTGTCTATTTTCTAATTCAGAGATGTAACCTCCAATTTGGATATGAAAAACTGCATGGGAGACAATGTAAAATGTGGTGGTTTTCAATGAATAGTTTGGTCCTCTTGCTCAAGCTGCAGAGCTTTATAAGAGCTCTGGCTGTGCCAGATGGGTGTGAATAGCAGTGAGAGTCATCGTCTGCCGCTTTTTGTAGAAATGCACTAGGAGCTCATTGTGCTCTGTGGGAATGCACTGAAGGATGTCAGGTAGGGACCACAACCAGTTGTGATGTTGGCCTGAAGTGGGAGATGCTTTTTGTGTAGGCACATCCCTCAGCATCTAAGGTATGAGCAGCTGCCCAGAGCACTGTGCAGCACTGCAGGGAGATCGTCCTGTTGGCAGCCACGGATGATGTGGGGGTGGTCGCATCTGTGAAGGTGTTGTGTGGTGAAGCACCAGCACAATGAAACAAGCTTTCAGCAAATTTTTTTTCATTCAGTAAAACATGTAAGTTACTGAAATTTCTCAGGTTTCTGTAAGAGAGAGTAGTTCTAATCTTGGAACAGCCTTTGAGGCACATGGTAACATGAGGTAACATGGATTTAGTTATCTCACTCTGATAAAAAATGGTATAGACTGAACTGTGAAATAGCAGTCGAATAAACATGATTTCTGCAGATTTAATTGCTAACTTCTGATGGCACGCTGGAAGAACTTTGAGGAAGGGTTGCTTTTTTTCCCCCTGTAAAGGTGGAGAGTCTTCAAAGGACCTAAAGGTCCAAAGATGGTTAGTAGACACTGGAAATTTCTAGGTGCCTTTTGAAAATCCCCATAGGCATTCATTTGCATCTAGAGAGTTAAATATCTATAGAAATTAGAAAACTGGTTTCTTCCCGTGCATGAGTAGCTGATTCCCTGTGACATGTGAGCAGCTCGTCTGACGAGCTTAGGACTGTGGTACTGATGTGGCCAGCCTTTCACAGGGAAACTTGTTTTTCTAGGAAGAAAATTTGCTTCCTGCACTCTTTATTCTTTCACTGTGCTCATCTGTGAAATGGAACATATTTGCAAGTGCAGTGGAAGTATCAGTTTATTCAGATGTATCTTGGGTATGTTTTTTGACTTCTCCCAGCGAAAATGATTCATCAGGTATTTAAGACAAAATTGCAGGTACTTTACAAGTACAGTCAGTTTTCCTGAGAAAAGCAAGTTGCTACTTTAAGAAAGCAAGAGCTTCCACTGATTTGGTCGGATTGGGTTTCTGTGGAAACTGGTTTTTGAGTAAGTCTGGTTTATTATTTTTAATCCTCTAGGAATAAAATCTAGGCTGTTTATATATAAACCTGATAGCTGTAATGGAAAAACAGTAAATCAATGTTTAGCATCATTTCAGTTCAGTAAAGAGTCTTGTAGTTGTAGAAATATGCAGCTTGTAGAAGACCTATTTCACTTGTCTTGCAAACTTCTCAGGGACTTTGCTCACTACAATTGGATAGTGCTTCTAAATGTGGTGATTAATATGAAAGAATAAATGCATGCTGGATTCATAGATTCTGTTTCGTTTAAATGTATTTTGATTTTTAGCTTTGTATTTAGTACTAGTAATTTGGTTGGGATTGAGGAGCGCCTTGGGACTTGCTGAGTCTCAGAGGGTATGTTTGGATTTGTATTGTAGGAGAAGGAAGTCTAAAACTCCAAATTAAGATTTTTGCTTGTGATAGGTATTAACTAAAATATTTCTGCTTCCCTTTTACATAGGTCTTCAAAGAAAGTTCTCTATTTATGGTTTCTCCTTGTGTAATTCATTTTTACAGTTTATGCCTCACAGAATATGTTCATAGTCTCTTTTAGTTGCCATCTATTGATTGTGCCCTCTGCCACTTTTACTGTGTGCTTATGTGGCAGTGAAGGCATCTTAGTTTCAAGTGCTGATTAACATCTGTCCATTTCACTGCTGTTTTTCAGGAATACAGATTTAGGTTCAGATGTGAAAATGCTTGTGAGAGTGGGGATTATAATATTTGTTTGAAAAGTAAATTACTTTGTTGATTTTGGTCTGTGTCATTGTGATAACACACAAGAATCCAAAAAGATGATCTACATTTTATTTTTCTAAATAACGAGAAACCTAAAGATTTTATTTTGAACAAATTCAAGACCAAGTTTTAATTTGCTGCCTGATAAGCAGAAACTTAAATGTTGCTAAACGTTGTGGAGAGATTAAAATGCTCCCTTCATGTTCTACAGATACATTCTTTAAACATGGTTAAGAGCCGTAAGAATTAGTTGAAGAATGACCTCCAGTGGCCTGGAGTGGGATTATTATGAATTTCAGCCGGTGGAGTCCAGCTCTGTAGAATACGCCACCCCAGGAGCTAACTCTTTTCTTCTCCCTGCCAATACTGAAAACTCTTACTGGGATCCCAATGCCATCTCTGAGTGGTCAATGAGTATCCATACAGCACACACCTCAGAAATAGTCAAGGAGAAGGTTGTTCCGGTGAAGGAAATCAAGGATGAAAAAAATAAGAGAAACCAGAAGAGAAAGGCTAGGAAGGAACCTAGAAGATCAGAGAGAGAGAAGGAGGTTAGAACTCTTGTGCATCCTCCCTGCCTTGAGCCTGACGCCTCGCACAGTGCATGCTGCGAAACCTTGGCCGGGCAATCTGGCATGGCTGAGCTCTGCGGCGCTGCATGGCTGCATGGCCGGCTTGGTGCTGGGTGCTCTGCATCAGCTTTCCCTGCCCTGTATGCACTCTCGGAAGATCTAACTGGGAAAACAATGTCATTTAAAACAAAGGCCAGAGGCCCCGAAACTTCCCTTCTCGAAGCTCCAATTTAAGAAGCAGAAAATTAGTTTCAAATAATGGAGCAGTAACCCAGGGTTCATAATCATTTCTAGCTGAATGAAAATATGCAAAGTGGCTTATTCCTGTGCTTCCATTTCATTTAGACAGTAATTTGTTTCATTCATGATTACTTTTCATGCCTTGATCACTTCTGCTGATCATGCATCATCATTTATTGTTCAGAGTAAAGTTGTTTTCCCTGTGTACCATGACGACTGTCTCTTCAGCAAAGGAGGGGGAAGGCAGCACAGACACACTGAGAAACATGAGGGCATATTCAGTTGCCTTTGTGAGGGTTGCTTCAGATTATCCACATATGCTTGTATGGTCCTGCAAATATTCAACACTTAGTTATATTTTAACTTTAAAATATTTTGATATTTCTACTGTGAATTTAGTGGCTTGATTTTATAGTAAATGACTTTGCAAGTGCCATCTAGCACTTTGTATCAGGGATTGAAGCCATGAGTTTTTGCTGATATTTTTTGGTTGGCCAGAGCTGTGGATGCCCCATCCCTGGAAGCGTTCCAAGCTGGGTGGGGCTTTGAGCAGCCTGGTCTAGTGGAAGGTGTCCCTGCCTATGGTGGAGGGGTTGGGCTAGATGATCTTTAAGGTCCCTTCCAATCCAAACCATTCTGTGATTCTGTGATTGTGGTGCAACTCTCCAGTAGCAAGACAGTCTGTTGATTTCTGCAAACATAGAAGGACAGCGAGAAGGTAAAGTGTGGCACTGGAGAAGGGCTTTAAGGGAGATTGTACAACTGATGGATGCTCTGGAGAATAGGAGTGTGCAGGAGAACAAATTATGGTGGTTATAGGTTGGGTTTTTTAAATCAGAGAAAGGAAAAATTAACAGGTATTACAAACTAGCATAAACCAAATCTCACTCATTTTGGGTGGTAGAGTCTATAATAGAGACTCCAGTAACACATAAGAACTGTTCAGAAGTCTATCTGAAACTGTTTTGTAAGTCGCTTGTATTGTTTCATTTCCCTTGGGGTGAACTTCACATGTAAAATAGATGCCTGTCCAGTTTCCAGGTGCCTGTTCCCAGTGGTTGCATCCACTGTTTTAAGGTAGTCAGGGAGGTAGTTGCAAAAACCAGGACACTGAGCAAATGCCACCAGTCTAGCCAATGCACAAGTGCTAAAGGAAGGGTAAGGCTGAAGTCCGTGGAGAGGTCAAGATTTAAGTATCTGCCTTTTGTCAGAACTCCCAGCCTGCAACCCTCTCCTGACAGCAGGTGTTTAAGCTCTCTATAAAGAACATGGTTTCACCCTTTGGAAATTTACCTTCTGCTGTGTAACAGCCCTGTTACAGGTAGAGCTCTCAGGTGTGCAGTCCTGCATCCTCTGCATCAGAGGATGCAGATTTCTATCTCAGTCTCCCAGTGTCTTCCTCTTTCTATCCCAATGAATACCAAGATTTTTCTTAAAAGTGGAGCGCTTTCAACACTGCAGTGCTGTCACAGCAAGACAAACTGTGCAAGTAACCTCTGGGCTGCTGCAGAAGAGCCAGTGGCCACTTTCTTCACTGGCCTCATTTCAAAGGGTGATGGGCATACCTGCCACATGCATGGAGCTTCTTCCAGCAAGCACATGAGGAGAGCACTCGTAGGGTGAGAGAGAGGAGAGATGTCTGCATTAGGGGCTGCAACAGGGCAAGGGTGTGCAGTGCCACCATGACAGCAGTGCCCTGTGGCAGCGTTGCACACTGAGATGTCCAGGGCATTGGAGTGGAATGAGTCTGAGTTGCCTTCAGGGCTAGGCAAAGTTTGAGTAAGGGGGTTTAAGATTGACCAGTGTAGACCTTAGTGCCTTACTTCTATCTAGCCTCACTTAAGTCTTTTTGGCTTTCGGCCCACATCTGCATTTAGGCAGACTGTTTTCTGTCAAGGTCATGTTTGTGTGACACAGCACTGGAGTTATCCCTCTTCATTGCTACTGATCTGCAGTCTGTTCCGAAGGCATAAATCTCTTGCAAATAGGATCATAAATTGTGCCCAGCATAATAGTCTGGACAGTTAATACACATTTACCGCTGTAATTGCTCTCTGAGCCTCTGGAAGG